ATTTTCTTTCAATTTCGACGAAAAAGTGTTCCGACCGAAAGCTTTGTCAAATTTCATTGTCATAGAGGTGGAGACCAAATTTTTGGATTTTTTCCACTATTCTTTTCGATGAATGTCAAGCGACCTCGTTACCGACCTCCGTGACTGTACTCTGTCACGTGTACCCCTGAATAGGATACACGTGTGTTATTATGCGTATATATATATTTTTTATCACATAACCTAAAAACTATTTTATCATTAAAACTATTACCACGTCGACGCATGCTTCTCGAGTCATCTTACGTTATCTGACGTGTCACTGGTTTACGTTCTGGTCTTATCACCGTATCAGTAACACAAGCTGGGGCACATTCTTTGGCATATCAGGCCCGCCGAGTCTAGTCTTCGATGCGAAGCATGAATGTTCATCGTGGTAATTTCATCCGAAGGCTTTTTTTTTCGCCCCACAATTTTTTCATCGGGAATTCGTATCAGGTGAGATCTTTTATTATACGCGTATGTACGCACGCTGTATTAAATATCGTTGAATGGAAAGTTTAAGCAGGCTCTCTCAACTCGACGATTCTACCGTCCTTTCTTCTTTTTCCCACATTAAATTCATTCGTAATATCATCGTGCGAACGCTTACCTGGGACACGTGCAATTTCTACTGGATCTCGATTCTTCCTCCCGTGTACGCTCCTGACCGCCCTTACACCCGCCGATCGATCATACCCCCTGTCACGTGTTACTACCTGCGTAGTACGTGTAGCTGCATTCGAAAATTTCATTGATGAATCGTTCGTATAAGGTTTCAAATGACGCGCTATTGCGTTGCCTCCGTATTGCAGTCGGTGACCGATAAGTGGATCGAACAATTTTACAGATCCGGATAAGGACGATTGTTTTACGAGGTTGGTCGTTATCGTAATGGAGTTTCTCTTCTTTGACAGTTTTCTATGGTTTGTCGAGTGACAGTTGGCAACGAAGGGAGCTGCTTGTAAATGGGAAGACTTTTGATTGCTGGGAAAAAAAAAGTTTTTACTCTTCGACGTTTCCTCATTTACATAATTATCTTGGGGATCTTCCTCCTTTTTTTTTTTTTTTTTTTTATGTTTT